TATAGATATTTTTATTTTTACAAAATTGTGCTCAATGTAAATTTACAGAGCATTAATATTTGAAACATGGTTAGAACTGTGTAGCGAAAAAAAACATATTTTAAATCAATTAATTTATAATACACACACACACACACACGCACACACACACACACACACACATATATATATATATATATATATATATATATATATATATATATTAAAAAGAAATAACAGTAAGATATATAATCCGGTGATCTTATTAATATTTTTATTTTCTTTATTTTTAAAAAACAGTGCTCAATGCAAATCTACAGAGCATAAATATTATAAATTTACTAATTTAAAAATATGGTTCCGTCACTACACAGGAATTACCATGTTTCAAAAACAGAAAATAAAAACTTCGAATTCAATTATAGAATTAAATTAAAGTTCCTAGTCCTGTTTCAGTTTCAAGCGAATTTTGGAATAACTGATTTTGAAATTTACTGAGTTTTATAAGCATATATGTTCATAATAATAGTTACTAAGGATACGGGGAAATCCAATCATTTTGGCAAGGGGTGGTAGGGTATTCATTTTCACTGACAACTATTGTATCAAAATATGAGTTACTTTTGAAAAGAGATTAAGTTAAGGTGGGGTAGGGGTGTCTTTTCCAACAAATGGTGACATCCGTTCAATGCATGTCGTCTGGTCTTTTAAAACGACAAAATGTTTTTTGGCACTTTTGTTTCGCCATTAAATTTGTACTTGTATACATAAAGATTTTTTTCTAAAAGGGTTGTTTGTATATGATTATGTCGTATTGAATTACAATTTTAAAATATTATTATTAATTTAAATTTCTAATAGACTATACTTCTTTTAAAACAAATAAATGTAATAGAATTCCTTAATCTTCAAGACCTACAAGCAAATCAGCACCCTGACTCCAGAGTTTCGTATACGAACCTTAGGATTTGTTTGTAGGAAGACTGAGAGCTGCTTTTTTAGAGCTCTCATGAAATAAAAATTATTACCTATGGGATTTTAAGTGTTTGATATTCTTTAATTAAGAATAATTTTGCTCTGTTTTTTGATATAGAGCTCTCACTGGATCTATATCCGCCTAGAAATTCCATACGGATTACCTTATTGTATCATTACTATATATATATATATATATATATATATATATATAAATAACAATATCTGTCTATATTTCTGAGATGAGGTATTATGTACACTATTTACATGGTTTGGACTATCATCCTCATTTTTGTTGCCATATTTTTCACAACGTTTCGGCAGTTTTACACTCCTGCCTTCTTCAGGTGGTTGGAATGTTGAACTGAACCTTTTTATTTCACTCGCTGGGGTAGACTGTTTTAGTTCCACATGCCATGTCTAATGCATGTCAGTTATCAGTTATCTTCTGTTAATTCCCCTCTCCAAGTTCTCCACCACCTTAACCAGGTATTGAACTCACACTATTTGGGTCCTGTCACTGGATCTAACTAATGCCTTTTTATCCACTGTGCCATGTGTTCTTAGACAAATAACGGCATTCGGATCCACCATTTATTCTACTCAATAGTTTCTAGAATAATCAGAAAGATAACTCTTAACATCCACCCAATAACCATCAGCATAATACATTAGATCTTATTACCCATAATGCACCACTGACCAGCATATATAAATAGTCAAGTCAAAATACTCTGAAAAAAAATGGCCTGAAGATTGCATTCAAGCATTTAACAGACTGTTGTTGTGTGGTGTTGACCTCAATATGTACTTTTATATTTACATACACTCTCTAATATTGAGAACTTTTATCCGTAAATATAAAATCGGAAATTAAAATGAATATGAAAAAATTAAAAATAAATATATAAGTAAAATAAAATAAACAAAATATCTAAATCAACATAAACAAATTAAGTAAACAATAAACAAATTAAGAAACTATGAATACATACATGAACACGAGTAAACATAATAATAACAATCAATAATAAATAATAAAGTAATCAATTATGAATAATAATATGGTTTGGACATATTTACAAGGCATGACCGCCTATGCAAGACCATCATGCAAGGTACCATTGAAGGAGGTAACACAAAAACTGGTTGGACAATGTCAAACAATGGACAAGTATGACTATCCCAGAATTGCCGATTGCTGCCATTGTGGAGGAGATTTAATATGGCTTCTGGATTCAGATCCACAATGATTTCTACTCAGTAGCCTCTAGAATAACTTGAAATATAACCATTACCACTCACTCAATAACCGTTAGAATAATACAATAGACCTACTCATAATGCACCATTGACCAGCATATATAAATAGTCGAACATAAACACAACACATATGACCTGAAAATTGCGATTAAGCATGAAACAGACTGTCACCACTGGGTGTTGACTGCAATGTTCGCTTTTATATTTATATTTTGGGAGAAAGATATATGAAAAAAGGGTAAAAGTTTTCATGTGATGCGTTTTGTCGTAAGTTTATGTTTGCATTGGCAGATCTTCTATTATCACAATGTGCGATATTTAATTTTGAAAGTGATGGAAACAAAAACAAATAGAATCTAAAGGAAATTGATGAGATTATATACTCAAAACAAATATATAAAAAGAAAAGTCATCTTTAAATTAAAATTCCCAGCATCTCTCATTCATGTACATGTGGGGGTCGCTTCAACGTAAACACAAACTTAGTCCAATGAAGTCTTAAGGTACGAAACACATCACACAAAAACTTTTTCTATCCGCTTCATCATACATCTTTCCCCACCAAATTTACTTGCTATATAAAAATTTACAAGGTCCGTGTGTATTACCTATGAACTCACAAATGTAAGGTGGCCAGTCTGATTGGGGTCCATGGGCAGTACTTTGTCACCCTTGCTATCTTATCAACATTTGCTTTTTTCTGCCTACATTTATATACGTTTTTTTTTTTTGTCCAAATCCTTGCTCATGCTAAGTCTTGGAAAAAAAAAGCCTACATAAAATTCACTATTTTTTATCCATAATGTTGAATGTGTTAAAATTATTCAATTTTTTAACAAGGAAAATCTCGAGTGGATGTTAAAAATTGCAACAAAACATTGTTGATTTATTTAAGATGGAATGATCTATTTTGACAGGTCTCTAATTTGTATTTACATATATTGTATTTATTTTCAATTTTTCTAGTTGAATTGTTCACCTATATTGCATATGATCCATTATTGTACATCATTAGGTTAGAATAAAATTTGTATTTTATATGACTACAACCTTATGAAAATTGAAATGTAGTAGAATCGGGGGGGGGGGGTGCATATCATAGATTAGGTAAGCTGTATCATGGATTCAGGAGGGCATGAGATACTTGCACCACTGTCCCTGAAAATTTATATATTGATATCCAATATTTTATATATATATATATATATATATAAATATATAATTTATTTCAAAATTATGAAATGTTATAAAATCACTACAAAAGTAACCATTTTGTTTCAACACTTCTGGTGTCTTATCAAGTGATGATGTTGAATGTAGAATAAAGGTTTTTAAAACCAAGAATAAAGGTTTTTAAAACCCTTTATTCTACATTTATCATCAGAAATGGAAAACAAAATAACTATTTTGATTTTTAACATTTTTCTATTATAATTTTCGAATAAATTATATTTGCTCTACTCTGTATTGAACACACTTTTAAGGATAGTATTTTTGGCTATTGGAATTTATTCCATATACACCAATCAATTGTTGGATATATATATATATATATATATATATATATATATATATATATAGGTCTGATGAATTGGATCGTGATTACAATTCCAATGTAATAAATTATAACCATGGAATATTAGTGTTTGAGCCTTTTATATTATATTCTTACTCTGTTCTGGACATTGAGTTCTACCTAGATTCTATCTTCTTGGATATTTATTTATATATATATATATATATATATATACTTTGGCCACTAATATTATCTATTTATCTATCTATCTATCTATATATATATATATATATATATATATATATTCTTAACTAGAATGCAATGTTTCTGATTCTAGATTTTTCATTAATTTTTTTCCTCACAGAAAAATTTTTTTAAAAATTTCACCCCTTTTTAAATGAATCTGCCCAAAAGCTAAACAAATCAATAATTTTCATTTTATTCAGTTCCCAACTGTCACGACTTGAGAGATAAGCACTTAAAAATTGAAAATTATTTGGCAATATATAAGAAAGGGAATTTTAGATACATGCCTTCAAAAACAGACACACACACACACATATTTTATAGATATAGATTGCAAAGTCAAAGAACAAGAAATGCAAATGAAAATTTTACAAGCACAAAGATTACCTTCACTTTTCCTTTGCTTGTGGTAAGGAGCCTCACAGTTACAGCACCAATTATAGAACTTTCGTTGTCTGTTTGCTACTCAACAATGTTTGCCATTATAAAGAATGCGATGTCATGGCAACTAGTTGTACGATGGTTGGGTAAGGATTTTATAAGGAAATTTCTTGAAATGAGTCAGGTTTCATTTTGACTACAATTAAGAGTCGTTGTTTGGTGAAATCTCATTGGCAATGGGTCGTGTGTTCTCATCTCTTGATGACACACTTTAAACTCAGAAAATGTTCTTTTGTTCAGGGGTAAACCTAATCAGGAAATTTTTTTTTTTAAAGACAAAAAGAAATCTGGGGGTTGATAGAGAAAGTAATGACATGTCTGAGACATCTGCGAAAGAAATTCCTTGTGACATAATCGCATTCTAAAAAAATTTTTCTTTTATTCAAAGCCGCCTTTTGTCTAAAGTTTCCAATTTTAACAACCGAATTAAAGTGATTCAGACAATATCTTTTCTTTCTAATTAACAAGCAGGAAAATGTGGAAGATTTTGTTAATATTTCAATGTTTTACAACCTTATCGGAATAAAAACCAAAGAAAATTAAAGAATTCATTAAAAATTAATCATAGGAAAAACAAAACCAAAAATAGATAGATAGATAGATAGATAGATAGATAGATAGATAGGAACAGAGATAGATAGATAGGGATAGATAGATAGATAGATAGATAGGAAGAGAGGCAGACAGATAGATAGATAGATAGATAGATAGATAGATAGATAGATAGATAGGAAGAGAGGCAGACAGATAGATAGATAGATAGATAGATAGATAGATAGATAGGAAGAGAGGCAGACAGATAGATAGATAGATAGATAGATAGATAGACAGGAACATAGATAGATAGATAGATAGATAGATAGATAGATAGACAGGAACAGAGACAGGCAGACAGATAGATAGATAGATAGATAGATAGGAACAGAGACAGGCAGACAGATAGATAGATAGATAGATAGATAGGAACAGAGACAGACAGATAGATAGATAGATAGATAGATAGATAGATAGACAGGAACAGAGACAGACAGACAGATAGATAGATAGATAGATAGATAGATAGATAGATAGATAGATAGATAGGAACAGATTGAGATAGATAGATATTAATAGATTGAGATAAATAGATATCAAGAAACTGTGATAGATGGATAGACAGACAGATAGATACTAAGAGACTGAGATAGACAAATAGAAAGAAAGATAGATATAACCTGACATAGATAGATAGATAGATCACATCACCCCTTACATCTGGCCACCTAACTCCCCAGACTGCAAACCCCGTTATTTATTATATGTGGAGCGCAGTTGAGTCAGAGACCAACAAAGTTCCTTGCAACACCAAAGATGAACTGAAGGCAAGGATTATGGCAGCATTCACCAACTTAAACAAAGTTACTGTTCAGAAGAGTTGTAGGAGATTCAGAAGTCATTTGTTAAAATGAGATGTCAGGGTTATTTTCATTTTTGTGTCATTTAGATGACAATTTATCCATCGCACCCTGTACATATGAACTGAGATAGATAGATATGAACTGACTGAAATAGATACATACATAGATAGATAGATAGATAGATAGGAACAGACTGAGATCGATAGACAGACACATAGGAACAGACTGAGATAGATAGATAGATAGATAGATAAATAGGAACATAGATAGATAGGAACATAGATAGATAGATAGATAGATAGATAGATAGGAACAGAGATAGATAGATGGATTGATAGATAGATAGGAACAGACTAAAATAGGATAGATAGATAGATAGGAACAGAGATAGATAGATGGATTGATAGATAGATAGGAACAGACTAAAATAGGATAGATAGATAGATAGATAGATAGATAGATAGATAGATAGATAGATAGGAACAGAGATAGATAGATAGGAACAGAGATAGATGGATTGATAGATAGATAGGAACAGACTAAAATAGGATAGATAGATAGATAGATAGATAGATAGATAGATAGATAGATAGGAACAGACTGAGATTGATAGACAGACACATAGGAACAGACTGATATAGATAGATAGATAGGAACATAGATAGATAGATAGATAGACAGACAGGAACAGAGATAGATAGATAGATAGATAGATAGATAGATAGGAACAGAGATAGATAGATAGATGTATGATTTCATTTTCAAGTCCTTTTTCACTTCTCTTTGGACTGTCATAGCTGAAACTCCTCTCTCATGTGCCAAACATCTAATGAATTGAGTTGGATCTTTTCTAATTGATCTCTTTAGCTCTAAGTTTAAATGATGACCCACTCTTCCTGTTGAGACCTGCTGATCATTTTCCCCTCTTTTCTAAACATATCCCCCATTCTCTTGATGACTCTTGAATGGACTTTGAAGATGGAAGCCAGAGTATGAATGTTGGTAACATTACTGAAGGCCTGAATGATCTTTTTCCTCTCACCATTGCTCACTTGGGAAGACAGTGAAGCTGACACAAAATGATTTTAACCTGTTCTCTTTCTAGCTGAATGACTCAAAGGGTTTTTCAGTGATTCTTACAAATGATATCACGATGGCTAAACGTCTTATCTGAAAACCTGGAAAAAAGAAACTCAATTAGTTTAGTATTTTTTTTTTTAGATATTAAACATTTTGTGGGGTGGACAATTATGCTGTTACACCTGATATATGCAGCAAAAATGTTTTATGTAAATTTATTACATGAGGGGGTGCTGACAAATTTTCAGCCATACCATATATGAGCTACAGTTTTGCAGTCCTTACTTTTCAGTTTTGGTTGGCGTTCAAAAGCAACTAAGTGGACGATGAACTTCCACCTATAAGCCCTTTCTGACAGATGAGATGTTGCAAGCCTCCTGTTACATTATTGCGATTTCAATGACTTTTACCGCTTAGGCCTGCCATGCTATATACATTGGGACAACCCATTCAGAAGAAGAAAGTAACACTTAGCTTCTTCCCAAGACATATTGCTTTGTGTAAGACTCCCAAGAGGATGCTTTCCTGATCACTACAATCTTAACTTCTTTCAACCTAGGGTTAGCTGTTATCTTTCCCACATATCCTCCATCAACTGCATTTCTTATCACTAATACAACCTCCTTCAGTAGCACTCTACCTTGAGTGACTATCGAGCCTTGTGAATATAAAAAAAAAGGGAAAATGAAAAAAATAGCTAATGAAATGACCAAACATCAGAATTTATTTATTTATTTATTTCGAGTACCTTCATGGTTTGGCTGAAAACCTTTAAGCACTCCATCATGTATGTATGTGTATGTGTGTGGGTGGATGCATGTTTTTTATGTAATAAAAGGGCGAAATGGTAATGCTAATATTAACCATTTCCTTGTAAGGAAATAAACATTTGCTATTCCTTGACTGAGCAGCCAGTTCTGCTAGTTGAAATTTATAAAAATCTTTCTCATAAAACAATTTTTTTGAGTTTTCTAAAATCCAGTAGCTGTTATTGTTCTTTGCAGTATTGACGGACATTTTCTTTCTAACCTTTTATTTGAAGTAGTGTGGAATGTCAACATTTTGATTTTGTCATTATTTTCTCTTCTCAAGCCCAGTAGCTGTTATCACTCTTTCCACTATTAATGGAGGTTTCCTTCCTAACCTTTTACTTTAAGTCCTGTGGAATGTCAACATTTTGATTTTGTCATTATTTTCTCTTCAAGTTACATGTGATATCTGCTTTTAGTTGTTGCTATGTGCACTTCAACGTGGTGTAATGGTTAGCAAACTAGTGTTGCTAGATCAATTGTAACTGAATAGTTAGTTTTATCCTCTCTGGGTGCCCCATACTTCTGACCTTGTGCCACATCTAAGCTACACTTAGAAAATCACCGGGGCACCTCAATGTATTGTAATGGTTAACAAGAAACAAAAAAAAAAAAAAAAAACTGCTTCATATTTTACATAATGCCTTTTGAAATGCCATATTTGAAGAAAATATTCACTAATTAAAGTTTTAATCCTTAAATTACTTTTATTTCATTATAGAAAAGTTAAATTAACTTTTCTATAATTGAATAAAAGATATTTTCTTTTTAATTATTCTTAATAAAGTAAATCCTAACGAAATTTAGTTTTTAATAAATTGACATATATCTGCTTATATCTCTGAGATGAGGTATCATGATTACTTACATTATTTGGACTGTTATCCTCCTCTTCATTGCCATATTCACAATGTTTCGGCTGTTGTACACCCCAGCCTTCTTCAGGTGATTGGAATTTCCTCAAAGACTCATGGCTCAATGGATAAAGACGTTGGTTAGATCCAGTGACTAGACCCAAAGAGTTGTGAGTTCAATACCAGGCCACAGCAGTTGTGAACCAAAACTTGGAAAGTTGAGTTAAAGGGAAATAACTGAGACATCTGGAAGAGCCATGGCATGTGGAACTAGAACAATCTAGCCCAGTGAACGAAATAAAGGGTTTGGTTTGAAATTGCAATCACCTGAAGAAGGCTAGAGCGTACAACGGCTGAAATGTTGCGAATATGGCATTGAAGATGAGGATAAAAGTCTGAATAATGTAAATAATTTAAGTAAATTGATATATAAAAAATAACGATTTCGATTTACTTTATTAAAAAATAAATTTCATTATGATTTACTTATTAAAAACAAAAAACTGCTTCCTTTTGTTTTGCAGTTATTGAATTACTTTATTAAAAAGTAATTAAGAGACCATGACAGTTATTAGTGAGATGTGATTCAATATACTTTAATGTTTAAAAAAAAAAAAATTATTCAGTATTATTATTGCTTAGATAATAAGCATTATAACATAGCACAATTAGCTATATTGTTGTTAAAGAAACTTTTGACAATGTACGCATTTTTTCTGTATTTATGGTTATTTTTTTAACTTTTATCAATGCTGACATTCTTGTACATGTAGTCATGGATAATATTATACATTAATTACTAATTTTTTTTAATTACTAACTATTTATGCTCAGTTGTTGATATTAATAGCTATCTGCTGATGTGTTAAAATTTTGAAATAATGCAATAATAGAAATTTAAATTTCATCTCACTGATAGATGTTGCGATCTGTAAAAACAAGTGCTTTATTGGATTATTTTTTATATATCAACTAGCAGTAGAGCCTGGCGTTGCCTGGGGATGTAACAGTAAGAGATAGATCAAGTATCAACCATCATAAAGACTGAAAAATAAAATTGACAAAGATTATTGTTTAAGGTTGACGGACACGCATGTCTTAATTAGTTATTTTTTTTTTTTTTTATGAATTGGTCAAAACCAAACTCAAACAAAAACATTGTTTTCAATCGTTATGAGTCTCTACCGATTGAATAGAATTTTATAAACAATTGCCTTGTAAATGGAATTTTTAAAGCATTCTGAATGTAAAAATAAAGAAAAAAAGTGTGCAAGAAACACTACCTGCCAAAAAAAAAAAAGTGAAGATATGTTGAAATTGGTTGAAAAATGTAGGAAATCCGATCCCATATATAAAGGAACACACACAAACAACCTGGGTTTTATAATAAGTATAACTCGATATGAGTTGTCCCCCTTTCATTCTGGCAGCAGAATCATGTTTTATTGTGTTTTCAAATTGATTTCTTTAAAAAACAATTGTGTTTTTCCAATTTTTGGTGCTGTTAGAACCACCGCAAGGTAATTTTACGCAGAAGTGAAGTTTTGTTGAAATCAGTTGAAAAATGTAGGAAATCTGATCCAATATATAAACGTACAGACACACACACACAACCTGGGTTTTATAATAAGTAAGATTTACTTTATTCAAAAATAAATTTCTTTATGATTTACTTTATAAAAATAATTAAAAACAAAAAAAAAACTGGTTCATATTTTACATAATGCCTTTTCAAATGCCTTATTCAATAAAAAATATTCACTAATTAAGGTTTTTGTCCTTAATAAATTATTTTATTTGATTTTAGAAAAGTTATGTTTTTCTGGTACTGAGTTGTTCCAACACTCAGTCAATGATGTTGTGTTGTTCTGCACCCATCTCTTCTCTCTTAGCTATGTGTAAAATAGCAAGAGAGACTTTGGTGGCAACCAGTCTAGGAGAAGGAAACTGAATTCAAACTGGATCAACTATTTCAAATGTGTGTATGCATGTGGCCACTGAAACTCCTATGGATTTGCACGTTCTAAATAAATACAACCTCTGCTCCACTTGGTCAGCTTTTGTTCGGATGCAGCTGGTTCATTTGGCGCAAAAGGTACAGCAACAGGTAAACTGGCTTGTAACTTTCAATATCTCAAAAAGTAAGTTAATATTGTTTTGTTATCACCAATCTGATGCAGTCTTCTCCAATCATGGTGAACAATTATACAAGTAAATCAGGGATTCCCAACCTTTTCAATGCCTCGCACCCCTAGAAAACTTATATGATCTCACACCCCATATATATATATATATATATATGCATACACAAAAGTAATATTTCATATGAAGATGAAGAAGGCAATTTATACTCAATTTAAGCAAATTTTTGAATGACATGAAAAGGAAAAAAAAATGGAAACCATTCTAACAAACTTAAATACGAACAAATTAAAATAAAATACAAAATTTAAGCTTTTCATTCAATGTAAGTAAATTAAACAATTTCAAAAAACTAAAATCTAACATTAAGAAATTCACATCAAAAAATGTAAAATTGAAATCTAATGGCTTTTTTGTTCTGTTTTTTTGAATATGATTTTGTCCAAACATTTTACTTTGTTGCTGATAGTGATCCACATGTCTGCCTGTGGATCCATGCGATTTCTAGATTTCGTCTTGATTGACAAAAGAGAACTAAATCCAGACTCACGTAAGTATGTGCTCGCAAATGGGATAAGGACAGCAAGTGCTTTATCACAAAAACTTGGAAACATATTCATTGCTGAATGCCAATACTCCTCCAAAGTCTTGCTTTCAAATTGCATTTCAAGAGCACAATTTCTCCGCTACTGTTAGAATGGTTAACAGTATCAGTAAAAATAATAAACAAATAAATTTGAATGTTTAACCATTAAAGTTTAAATATTTAAATTTATATATTTATTCTTTTTGCTAAATTGCCACATCCAATGTTTCGCACCTCCTAAAAGGCAATCTTGCGCCCCTTGGGGTCGTGAGCATCCCCAATTAAGAACCACTAGAGTAAATGATATAAATTTTTATATATCAGGAAGAATTTTAGGGAAAAATAACTATGAGAAGTTTTGAAAAGATTTTCTTTGAAGTATTTCGTCCTCAGACTAAAGACATACTTACATTGATGCAATGACACATGTGCTCAGAGTATTGACATTGCAGTGTTATAAATTACCTGCAGAAAAAGGGTTTAGCCTCTGAGGACATTTCTATTCACATGGTTGCTATGTAATTGGATGATGTTCCAGCTTTATCAAGAGTGCAAAAGTGGGCAGCTGAATTTACGAGGGGAAGGAGAGAATCTTTTTCTGCAGGTACTTGATTTAAAATTTTAAAAAATTTTTTTTTTAAAATATGTTTTGAGTCAGTGTTTCCCAAATGGTGTGGCACGCCTTATAGGTGCAGCAGAAGAGGATGACAGGTGAGGCGGAATGATTGAACACTAATCAAAGATTTAGTAACAGTTTAAAAAAACTTCATATGCCAAAAGTAAATAACATTTCAAAATTTAAAATATTATTATGGATTACTTGTAATTGCAAGCATGGATCCCAGTATAAATAGTTATAATTAATTATTGACTGATTTCATCACTGGGATAGTTTTGCTTTATATCAAGTATTAAGAATATAGTAACTAGGGTCCGCAAATTGGAGAAGAGAGTTAACAATGATAATGTTCTGGCATCAAATCTGCAGCTATCGCCCTTTAACCCTCTATCCATTTTATATTTTTAAATGTACTTTTTATTGCATAAAATTTGGTGAGGCATGACCAAATTTTAATTCCAAAAATGTGTCCTGGAGAAAAAAAAGTTTGGGAACTACTGTCTTAGTCTTAAAAATTCAAACACAAAATTGAGAAAGATTTGTGGATGAAAATTGTTTAAAATTTGCTGTTTATACAGGAAGACTCCTTACTATCACAGTTTTTTTTTTCACTGATTTAATCCCAGCAAGGCAATAAAGCCACTAAGATGCAAGGGATTACAGAGTATGAAAGAATATGAAAAAAAATAAAAACATTTTTAAGGAAAGCGAACAATAAAAGAACAGGATCAAAGATGTCCAAACATAATGGTCGACATTTCTTCTGCTTAAGCCATTTTTGGTTTTTAAAAGACTTTCAAAATTTTTTAATCATTTCGTCCCCAAGCAAGGTAATAAAATGCAAGGGATTACTGCAGTTGTTTCCAAATGGTGCAGTGCAACTCATAGGTGCAGTGAAAGAGAATTAGCAGATGAGGCGGAAAGTTTCAAAAAAATTCCTATGCCAGAAATAAATACATTTCAAAATTTAAAATATTATTATGGATTACTTGTAATTGCAGGCATGGGTCCCAGTGTATAAATAGTTAGAAATAATTATTGACTGATTTTATCATTGGGAAAGTTTTGCATTATATCAAGAATTAAGAAAATGGTAACTAGGGTCTGCAAATTGGAGGAGAGAGTTATCAATGATAATGTTCTGACTGTGAATCTATGATTACTACCTTTAACTCTCTCTCTGTTTTTTAATTTTAAATGTACTTTTTATCACATAAAATTTGGTGAAGCACAAGCAAATTTCCATTCTGAAAATGTAGCCTAGATAAAAAAAAAGAAAAAAAAAAAGAAAAGGTTTGGGAACAAGTCTTTTGGGAATATAATCGAGACAGTTTCATTTAGTTTCTTTTCCTTTATATTTTTATCAATTTTGTTATTTAGTATCCGAGATTGTGATAATAGTAAACCAGCCAAGAAAGGTGAAATGCTGTAAGAAACTGGATGAATGTAACATTAGAAATACATTGGGAAAGGCACAGATCCCTGACGGTATCTCAGTATTCCAAGGGAGGTAATCCAAATTTACAGGCTTAAAAATTTAACAGAAAAACGCAAATGAAAATAGAAAGATTTTATTGAAATATATTTAATTTCTCTTGTCTGTATTTTTTAGCAAAAAGTCAATTCAACATATATAATATATATATATATATATATATATATAAATAATAATACATATATATATATATATATATATATAAATATACATATATATATATATATATATATATATATATTATAAATACATATATATATATATATATATATATATATATATATATATATATATATATATATATATATATATATATATATATATATATATATATATATATATATATATATATATATATATATATATATTATATATATATATATATATATATATTATAAATAATATTACATATATATATATATATATATTATAAATAATTATATATATATATATATATATATATATATATATATTATATATATATATATATATATATATATATATATATTATATATATATATATATATATATTATAAATAATATACATATATATATATATTATAAATAATATTACATATATATATATATATATATAAATAATATTACATATATATATATATATAAATAATATTACACATATATATATATATTATAAATAATATTACACATATATATATATATATAAATAAAATACACATATATATATATATAAATATTACATATATATATATATGTATATATATATATATATATATATATATATATATATATATATATATTCATTCATTCAAGCATGTTTCATTGAATAATATAGACATATAATGTACATTTATTTTTATAATAACCCATTCTAATTCTCTAATCGGCTTCTTGATGTTGAAATTCACCAAGGAAGGTGCCATAGTTTTTCCTTACCCATGTACTTTTGATCTCCACTTCATCCTCAGGGGTAAATTACAAAGACAAACCTAATTATAACTGCGATAAAATCTGCATTACCTTGTGATGGGGGATTTTTAAGAAACATGTGTGAAAGTATTCTGCTATAATTATTTTAAATTTTTTAATTTATCCGTTGTAGCTATGGAATTTTTGGCTAAACACTCGACCCATCATAAGTGAGATAAGGAGAAATGGGTAGAAATGCAAATTGAAAGAACTAGAAAGGATTATTATAAAAAGACATCTGTCTATATTATTCAATGGAACATGTTTGAAAGAAGATATATATATATATATATATATATATATATATATATATATATATATTATATATACACACATTTGTATTTGGACGAGCAATATCACCTTGATTTTCATACTCATGACATTTCAGCCACTGTACTCTCTTTCCTTCTTCAGATGTTTGCTGTACTGATAACCCAAAGGTTTCCATTTAAAATTCTGAGATGATATGATGGGCACCTGAAAAAGGACAGACAGCACACTGGCCAAAACATCATGACTTTAAAAATCAAAATGAGTATTCTCGTCAAGGCACATACTGAATTTTTCCTTTTCAATTTTACAATCTAATTCTGGAAATTTAGGAATGAAACCGTTTTCCAAATCAACAAATGGAACAATGCGAAAATAATACAATTGAAAATAATAATCCGTTTCAGTGAAATGGATTAGTTAATCCTAAAGATTTGAGATTTAGATTAACTGAATTTTTTGTGGGCCCATAGTCAATTTAAAAAATAAAGTAACCAACGTAAAAGATTTGGGCAGTTACAGTAATCGATAGATGGTTTTGTGATCAAACTGTGTGGAGAGGCTTTGAAGGTTGTCCCACCATTGAAACAAAAAGTTGTCAGCAATAAGTCGAAACCATGGAGTCAAGAGGATTCCTCGATCATCAGCAGTTGCTGGAAAACAGAAAGAAAAAGAAACGTTATTGATAAGCTGAAGGAATCATTTCAGAAAGAGGGTTTTCAAAATTCCTTTCCTCTGATTGGTTGAAAAGGATCCTGTATTTTTTTTTATTTTTTTTTCTAGAAGATTCAGTTTTTAGCAGTGTTTAACATATCATATCATTGCAAATGCTTTGTGCCTGATTTTCATTGTTAATATAAAATGACTGCAACTTGATACTGGCATTTGTTTTGGTGCTGATTTCTGGTGTGTTCGAGATTGAAATCTTGCATCAGTCAGGCTTTGTTGAATGTTGATGTTTTGCCCACAAATGAAAGCCTTAAAGATGGAGGATGAATTTTGGAAAGAAGTAAGCATTGGAACTGTGACAAAAAACATTCGGAAGGTTAATTTGGATCGTGCTCCAGGTCTTCAGATGCTCAAAAAGTTGTTAGGCAGATTTTGTCGGAGTGATTTTAAACTAAATGAGTGACCTCCCAATATCAGATGCTTCTGCTTGCCATTATGAAGAATCTTGGGTTCAAGAAAAATGGTCAGTTTTGGCAACTCGAAAAGATATCATTTTCAACCCTAACAAACCCAAGATTACATATGGCAGAATCTTAAAGAGTTCAATTGGGAAACCCTTCAGCATTGACCGTATTCTAACTGACTTGGACCTTTTGGATATTCATTTGTTCCAGTTTCTATAGAACAATTTAAATGACAATAAAAAACACAATGTTTCTACAAAAACTTCCTCACTACCTTCTTCCAACAAAAAACACAATGTTTCCAGAAAAACTACTTCACTATCTTCTTCCAACAAAAAACACAATGTTTCTACAAAAACTACCTCACTACCTTCTTCCAACAAAAAACACAATGTTTCCAGAAAAACTACCTCACTATCTTCTTCCAACAAAAAACACAATGTTTCCAGAAAAACTACTTCACTATCTTCTTCCAACAAAAACACAATGTTTCTACAAAAACTACCTCACTACCTTCTTCTAAAAAAAAAAACACAATGTTTCTACAAAAACTACCTCACTACCTTCTTCCAACAAAAAACACAATGTTTCTCCAAAAATGGCATTAACAAGCTTGTAGAATAATGGGAGACAGTTGTTAAAAAACAATGGCAAATATAGACTTGGCTAACAATGTTTTTTTTGTGAGCATATAAAATTTCGTTTTTCATTTTCTAATTGGGCACAATCTCTTGCAATTAGTTCTCAAGCAGACCCCCATTTAATTTTCCTACTGGGCTCAACACTGCTTAACTTTGGTGATCAAAATAACAACTGAGGTTTCAGTGATTTGACCATATGTGTCTTCTAGAAGACAAAGACCAAAATCCAACAGATCATAAATTTTCTGCTACGGTCATTAATGTCTGGGTAGCGTAATGATCATTGGTTGCATTTGCTTTCTCATTAATGCCAATGGGAAAGGCAAGAATGAATCTCTTCTCTCTCCCTAGATTAAGGGTTAAACAACAATATTGTGTTGCAGCCAATTTAGGAGAAGGAAAAGACTTCCAAATCCTGAAAGAAGGAAACAGGAAAGTGCTCCGCTATCTTTCTCCAAAAAGTCACAATTCTCGGATTATAAAGAAAAGGTGCTGTGGAAAGCTGTGGTCACCTAAGGCTTGAAAAGGGCAAAACTTTATTTAAAAAAAAAAGAAAAAAAAAAAGAATATTATTATTATTATTATTATTATTATTATTGAGAAGAAGGAGGAGAGAGAATTAAATAGTTATCTAAAATTTCTGCTTAGCAAGATGGAGGGGGGAGGAGGAGGAAGAAAGAGAAAGGAGGAGGAGGAGGAAGAAGAAAGAGAAAGGAGGAGGAAGAAATAAAGAGGAAGGAGGAGGAAGAAATAAAGAGGAAGGAGGAGGAAGAAGAAGAAGAAAGAGGAAGGAAGAGGAAGAAGATGAGGGAAAAGGAGGAAAAGATACGGGGGAAAAAGAGGAGAAGATGAGGGAGAAGGAGGAGGAGAGAAAGAGAGAGAAAAGAAAGAATGAAATAAGAAAATTATTCAAAATTTCTGCTTACCAAGAAATTCTTTCATTCCTTTTTTGTCTAAATATTTTGTGCTTTTCACTTCATTCGGGTTTGGGTCAAGATCCACATTGCATTGTGCAAATAAGACATAGTCAATTTCATGCTCTCCCCATTTACCATCTCGAGGTACGTTGGCAGCCAAATAATGCACTCGGGTGACATAATGAATGGCTTTTAATGGAATCTGAAAGAAACAAGGAATTAAGAAAAAAAAAAAAATCTTCAAATTTGCCAGCAAAAAAGCAGATTAAATTACCAAATGCTGATTAGAAATAAACAATTCAAAACATGACATTAATTAGACGTAGTAGTAGTAGTAGTAATATTTTAACACTTTTTAGCATTGTCAAGCATTCTTCATTTTTCACTAGGATTTCTTTCATCTTCATTTCAATTGCTTTATTTCCACTAGTAGTATTAGTAGTAGTAATATTATCTGCAATTTTCATTTTTATATATATATATATATATACACACACACACACACACACACACACAGAGAGACACACACACACACAAAATGCTACTCTGAACAAAGAAAACAATTCATTGCAATGAAAATGTTTAGAGAGTGCCTTGATCGCAAGGTCATCCAAAGTAAATTTGCACCCAGGCTCTTATAATATTTCACTATTCTTAGTAGATCTTCTATTAACACAGCGTGGGATATTTAATAACAAAAGTGATGGAAAGCAAATGAAAAAGAACCTAAAATGAAATGGGCTAGATATATATATATATACAAGTTTGCTTTTTTTTTTAATTTAAAATTCTAGTTGCACCAATGTGACAAATTTAATCCAGTTAAATCCTAAATTGCCGAAACATGTCACACAAAACCTTTTTACACTTGTCATACATTCCCCACACCCAATATTGTTCTCGATACAGAAAAATATATATATATATATATATATATATATATATCAAATCTATAAATCAACCATCTGTCCTTGCATGGAATATTGCTGTCATATATAGTCTGGTGCTCTTGCTGTATGTCTCGAGGTCCTTGACAAAATCCAGAGACGAATATGCAAGATAATAGGTCTTGATCTGGTATCTAATCTACAATCGTTAGATGTGCTGTGGCCTCCCTCTGTCTTTTCTACAAATATATTCATGGTAACTGTTCCAACAAGCTACTTTTGCTAGTTCCCAGATTACATGAATTTAAACATGCTACCAGGCTGGCATCTCGGTTCCTTCTTTCACTGTCAAAATGAGTAATAGTAACCATCTCTTTTACTCAAACAGCTTCTCTCGCACTTCCCGTCTGTGGAATTCCCTTCCCCTTACTTGCTTCCCCAATGACTATAATATTCAAATATTCAAGTGTAATGTCAATCGACATCTGACACCATGAGCTTGTTCCCCGTCCTTCTCTGTATCCTTTCCTCATACACACCTCTTTACTCTTGTTCTCAATCCTCTGTAACAAGTTGCATGCTATTGGCACTCCTGCCTTGCTTGGAGTGAACTGCCTTAAAAAAAAATAATAATAATAATAAAAAAATAAATGTATGTATATGTATGTGTTTGCTTGTTTGTAATTGGATGTATGTGTATTTTTCAATCTATTTGTTTGCAATATGATTTTTGAAAATTTTTATCAGTTCAAAAATCACAAGCTAAATATCGTCATTACCACTAATGCGAAAGTGATCAACTTTCTCGATATGGCCTTGAACTTGAATAATGGTGATTCCAAACCATATACTAAAGATCTATATAACAATAAATACGTCATGGAAGAATCAAACCACCACCATAAAATTCCAGATAAGTTTGTATTTCTGAGATAAGGTATTATATACACTATTTACATTATTCGGACTATTGTCCTCATCTTTGTTGCCATATTTATCACAACGTTTCAGCTGTCGTATGCTCCAGTCTTCTTCAGGTAGTTGGAATGTCGAACTGAACCCTTTATTTCACTTGCTGGGGCAGACTGTTCTAGTTCTACGTGCCATGTCTAATGGATGCAAGTTATCAGTTATCTCCTGTTAATTCACCTCTCCAAGTTCTCCACTGCCTTAACCAGGTATTGAACTCACAACTCTTTTGAGTCCGGTCACTGGATCTACCAGGCATTGGTTTGATTCAGTGACAAGGCATATAGCACAGTAGATAAAAGATCATTGGATCTAAGCAACACTTTTATCCACTGTGCCATGTGTCCTTAAGGACGTACAATGGCTGAAACATTGTGATAAATATGGCAACAAAGATGAGGACAATAGTCCAAATAATGTAGTGTACATAAATCAGTCCAAGTTAGATTATCTACCAACTCCAGCAATAAGGAAATATTTGATAACAATAAAATTAACTATATAAAAGCTTTAGAACTAAGGAACAATAATGTAAATTTAGAGTATTTAGAAAAAAACATAAGTAAAAATAAACAAAAACACTGTAAGCATAAAGTTATAAAACGTCTAATCCAGCTGTTAATCATAATGTTCAAACAAATATATGAAGAATTTTCCTACATTTAATTCATAAGCACTTTAACCATTCACCAACATTAAAAAAGATCTTGAACAAAAATAATGTTAAGATCAGCTATTACATTAGTAACATCAATAAATCTATATCCCAACGTAACAAAATAAATATATTTCCAACAAAGCAGTTAATTTAAAAAAAAATAAATGCAACTGCTAAAAAAATAAGATCTGTCCCTTAAACAGCCAATGTATAACTGATAATATTGTATACTGAGCTAGCACATGTTCCAGTAACAATGTCAAATTTACCATGTGAAATATTTGACCAATCAATGAAAACTAAAACCATATTTTTCATGAGCCTACTTTCAGGAAAAATTTCTGCAGATTTTGACTTTCATGGGCACAGATGTGACAGTCTCCAAGCTGTTTCAAACACAAGATGTGGCTATATAGCTTTTTCCTTCCCAACAGCATGTACTGCAATGAACAGGTGTTTTGGCGACTTCAAACAAATCAGCTCCAACGACAACAACAAAGATGGTCAGTGAATTTTCACAGACGATCATGTCAGGCTTTAAACAAATCCTATCCAACAACAGCAGAGATGGTGTGAATCTTCATTAATGCTAAAAGTCTTTTCTAAACCACAGATTTTTCTGTGAACTAACTTTAAAGAAAGACTTGAAGTCAAGTAAGGATTATTTTTTAATACTTTTTAACTATTTTGAATTCATGTACATATAGTGATTTTCTAAGCATAGCTTAGATGTGGCTCAAGGCTAATAGTATGGGGTACACAGTGAGGACTGAATTCATTTACTCAGTCATAATTATTTTCATGAGACAAGCTTGCTAACCATTACACCACTGAGGTGCTTATTGTATATGTTTGTAAAAACGAATCCTTTATTTAACAGGTATACTTATGTTTTCTTTATTTTTATTTTATTATTGTTTAGAATTTGAATGTTTGAACATTTAATACTAAAATACTACAGCTTGAGTAATTTGGATGGTTTGGTTTGGTTTGGTTTATTTTGTTTAACGGCTTATCAACCGCAATGGGTTATTTAATGCCGACAATATTTTTAAGATAGATTCGTATGAATAGAGTATGTATTCTTTGGTTTAGATTGGTTTGGTTTATTTTGTTTTACGGCATATAAACCTCAATTGGTTATTTAATGCTGACAAAAATTTTTATTGCTGGTAATAATTTTTTTCAAGAAAGTATTGCTGGTAATAGCTAACTATTTGCCCATAGCTGGGACCCTAACAGGTGCTACCACCCCAGGTCAGGGTGGACCTGGGAACACCAGCAATTAAAACGTGGTTCCACGCTCCTCAAAACCTCCTGATCAGAGGCCTTGCTACTGGACGTAGTTTAACATCTTACCCAGGACGCAGATGTAGTTTAATGTCTTACCCAGGACAATAATTTGGATGGAAAACAATAAAAGATAATTGGACTGGTCTGTCAAGAGTCTTGAGAAATGGCAGAGAGAAATTTCTGGTGACTGCCTACCTGCTCAGGAGTGATTCCCAATTCCTGTTTAACTCTACGTTGAGCGGCACGTCGGACCCCAATCGCATCGTCTTGTTCCAGTTCCCTCGGAGTGTACAGCGGATGGCTACAGCACGCATTTGTGAAGTGATCTAAAGAATTAACAAAAATGAAAGTAACCATTACGATACATTTTGGTCCCAAACGTGAGTTTTTAAGGTCGTCAGGGTTTAAAAGAAGAAAAATAAAAGGATTTGGATTTTTATTATCATTAATATAAAAACTATTAGTTAATATGCAATATAAAGTACTACATCAAAGACTTGAAGAATTTGACCATTCACAAAAGCACCTTATTTTAATGTCTAGTTTTCATCTCAAAAGTATTGATTAAATGATTTCTTTTTTATGGCTTTGTGGACAATTTAAAGTCAAAACATATTTTGGATCGTCAGACCAATTCTTTTATTTTTGCAATAGAATAGAGATTAATAATTTTCTTTGAGAATAACAATAATTTTTTTCTCCCAATACAAGTCCTATTTAACCCATAGCTTGGGGATAAGATAGATTCATAACTTTCCCAAGGGGTTTTGTGCATGAATGTAACAAAACTGACTGGAATTCAAACTCCTCCCAAAGACAGGAACTAGTATATTGGCTCCTAACAATTTTATTTGGGATTTTTTCCAGATACAACAACTACTATTTAACCCATAGATGGGGAGTGAAGATGGATTCATACATTTGTGCATAAATTAATGTAATGAACCCATCTGGAATTCAAGCTTCCTCCAAAGATAGCCCCCTTGGGACCTAGTAAGTTGGTTTTTAATTTTCTTTGAGAATAACAATGATTTTTCCAGTTACAAGTCCTATTTAACCCATAACTGGGGGGAATATTTCACATAAGTGAATGCAGCAAACCAAACCAGAATTCAAACTCCATCTAAAGGTAGTCCTCTTGGGAATTAGCACATAACAATTTTCAGGTACAAGTTTTATTTAACCCATAGCTAGAGAGAGGAGATGGATTCATGCTTTCCCAAAAGTATTTGTGTGTAAGTGAATGCAATGAACTCGACTGGAATTTAAACTCCTTCCAAAAAGTAGTCCTAATGCGTGGGCTCCACTTGAATCTCCCCTCAGTAGCAAAAAGGAAAAAAAAAAAAAAAAAAAAAAGAAATTAAAAAAGCAGACCCCACCTGGATATGTGATTTTGCTAGTTGATCGTTGTTGTAACAACATCTCTCCACTTTTATTAAAAAGGAAAAGACTGAAAGCTCGGTGCAGCAAACCTGCAAGAAAAGTTGATAAAAAGATATGAAAATATTTTATTGTTCATAAGAAAAACATGAGAGAGAGAGAGAGAGAGGAGGAGGAGGAGGAGAAAGAAAGAGGAAAGAGAAAGAAAGAGAGGAGAAAGAAAGGGAAAGAGAGAGAGAAAGAAAGGGGAAAGAGAGAGAGAGAAGGAAAGAAAGGGGAAGAAGAGAGAGAGAGAAGGAAAAGAAAGGGGGGAAGAGAGAGAGAAAGAAAGAAAGGGGAAGAAAGAAAGAGAAGAAAGAAAGGAAAGAGAGAGAGAGAAAGAAAGAAAGGGGAAGAGAGAGAGAAAGAAAGAAAAAAGGGGAAGAGAGAGAAAAAGAAAGAAAAAAGGGGAAGAGAGAGAGAAAGAAAGAAAGAAAGGGAGAAGAAAGAAAGAAAGAAAGAAAGAAAGAAAGAAAGAAAGAAAGGGGAAGAGAGAGAGAAAGAAAGAAAGGGGAAGAGAGAGAGAAAGAAAGAAAGGGGAAGAGAGAGAGAAAGAAAGAAAGGGGAAGAGAGAGAAAAAAAAAGAAAGGGAGAGAGAGAGAAAGAAAGAAAGGGAAGAGAGAGGAAAGGAAAAGGGGAAGAGAGAGAAAAAGAAAGAAAGGGGAAGAGAGAGAAAAAGAAAGAAAAAAGGGGAAGAGAGAGAGAGAGAGAGAGAGAAGGAAGGGGGAAGAGATAGAGAGAGAGAAAAGGGAAAGAGAGAGAGAAAAAGAAAAGAGAACGTGAGAGAGAGAGAGAAAGAAAAGGCGAAAGAAAAAGAAGAGAAAGAAAAAGAAGATAGAAAAAAAAAAAGAGAGAATAGTAAAAGAAATAATATTTACAAAATATACTTTGATATAAACTGGGCAACTACTCTTGAAAAGGATTTCCAATCAGTTGTTAACTGGGGCAAGAAATGGCTTGTAAATTTTAATGCCTCCAAAAACAAAACTGCTTTCAATTAATCACCAGAGAAACTTTTGTGTCTGCCACCAGGAGGACAACACTATGCCTTCTTAGCCTCACATTTTTCACTGAAAATAGTGGAGTGACGATATGAAATCAACTGAAACGTCTACTGCTAGGAAATTGCTTCACTGCGTCATACCAGAACATTTTTCTCGTCAGAATCCATCTTGTCCATTTAGAAATCTACCATTTATTGAATACTGCTGCCATTTCTGGTCTGGCGCTTCTGCTGGATATCTTGAGATTCTTGACAAAATCCAAAGAACGGTCTGTAATGTAATCAATCATGATCTGGCATCTCAGCTTCAATTATTTTTGCACCAATGTAATGTGATTTTCCTCTGGCTTTTCTACAGACATTTTCATGGCAACAGTTTTGAGGAGTTCTACACCTTAGGGCCTGAACTAGATGAATTTAAGCGTGATAATAGATTGACAACTAGGTCTCACTATATTAGCCAGATGGAACTGCCAATTCTCGTCTAACAGTTTCTTTTCTCACACTTGACACCTGTAGAACTCCTTTCTGTTTTCTTGATTCCCTGCCATTTAAAATCTTCAGAAATATAAATGAAATGTTAGGTGCCATCTTCTGAATCCTTTATTTGTCCTCAAATCTTCTCATTCTCTTCACCTCCACAGTAACCCATTATGTCTTCGTGGCATTATCACCATCTTCTGTCTTCCTGAAACCTGTTCTTTTATGGTCCTTTCTCCTCACTAAAGTCTTCTCATTCTCTTTCACTCCCAGTAACCCCTTGCCTCTTAGTGGCATTATCGCCATCTTCGTGAAACCTGTTGTTTTATGGTCCTTTCTCCTCACTAAAGTCTTCTCATTCTCTTTCACTCCCAGTAACCCCTTGCCTTTTTGTGGCATTATTGCCATCTTCTGTCTTCCTGAAACCTGTTCTTTTATTGTCTTTTCTCCTCACTAAAGTCTTCTCATTCTCTTTTCTCCCAGTAACCCCTTGCCTTTTTGTGGCATTATCGCCATCTTCTGTCTTCCTGAAACCTGTTCTTTTATTGTCTTTTCTCCTCACTAAAGTCTTCTCATTCTCTTTCACTCCCAGTAACCCCTTGCCTTTTTGTGGCATTATCACCATCTTCTCTCTTCCTGAAACCTATTCTTTTAATTTCCTTTCTCCTCACTAAAGTTTTCTCGTTCTCATGGAAAAAAAATGCTACATGGCAGGCACTCACCCATTACATATTTACAAACCTCAAAGTCTGGCACAAGTCCACAGTAATGGAGAAGCCAGTGATTATCAATCTCATTACACTAGCAATGACATACAAGACTAGCTTTCTAACAATCTGTTATAGAGTAGTTTCACAGTGGAGGCTTGTATTTCACTAAGTCGGTCTTAAAAAGGTTCAACGTACAAAACGTTAGAAACTTGATATAATAGTTAATGTCGCAGCAATCTAGTTGTGGTGGCTGATACTTTAATGTCCGACATCGACTGACTGACCAACTCACTGAGCTCCCTGGTGACTGCTCCTACTCCTACTTATTATAGGTGGGAGAGTCTATTAACAATAGAATAGGTATGTTCCAGTATAACACAATCGCACCATGCTAGGCACCCACTCTTTACATATTTACAAACCTCAATTCTGTCTGGTACAAGGCCATATTAATAGAGCACTCAGCAATCATCAAAGACCCAGTCATGATATGATACAAAAAGCAACTTCTACCTGTGTTTATATTCTGCATTAAGTGGCAGTCCATTTTGCTGGCTTTGCCAGTCACTTTATCCATTTCATCTACCAAAATACATTGCTCAGATAAAAGCTTAACCTGAGCTTCATTCAGTCCTGTTAACAACTGCTGGTCACTCAGAGAGCTCGTACTTTGTGTGAAAAATCTGAAAAAAATTAAAAAATTCAAGATTAACAAAAAGGAAATCACCTCATGCAAGGCAATAAAGCCACTAAGGCACAAAAGGTTACTGGGTACAGAAGAATTAGAAAACAGAAACATTACAAAGGAGGAGGGACAACAGAAGAGTAATCAGGAGAACAGTAGATAACGATTGACATTGCATTTAAATTTTTGCAGATTAAAGTCGGCTCGAAAGGATAGAGCTGAAAGGAAGTTCCACAAGCGAGATGTGTGAAAAAAGAGACTGTTAACATAGAACTTATGGTTAAATCTAACCAGCTCAACAGTAATTTGGTGAGATATTAATGCCAGTCTAGTACCAGTGACACAGTGGTTAAGAATTTAATCCCTGGGTCAGGCAATGCGTAGCTTGTGATAACAACAATAATCCAGATATAAATAGTGTAAATAATGATAATTTCTCATCCCAGAAATTCATTTCCTGTAGGTCACCCAGATTGTTATAAACCTGGGGAAGGCTAGAGAGAACAACAGCCGAAACGTTGTGATAACCACGACAAAGATGGCGACAACAGTCCAAATATAAATAATGATAACTCCTCATCCCAGAAATTCATTCCTCGAATAGATATACACCTTGGGAAGGCTATAGAGCACAACAACCGAGACATGATAACAACAACAAAGATGATGATAAGTCCAAATAATTCCAAGTTGTTAACTTCACTGTTTAAGAAAATTAAAAAAAAAAAAAAAATTAGTTACAGTAATGGATAAAATGTAAAAAATGTTTTAAAAATAAAAAAACTAAGTGATAAAGTTAATCTTTGCTATCACAGATTAGGTTAGCAATTGCTAGTCTAGGTTAGTGGTTGCTAGGCTAGCTGTCGTCTCTCTCTTTTTCGGCACTTGGCCTATGACTCATCTAAACTTAATGGCTTGCATACAGTTTATTTCTTTACAATTTGTTTCTTCTCTTATTTTCCTTGTTTATTCACATGTTTTTGCATGTAAGAAACCCACAAATACAAAAATCGGGATAAGTTTTAAAAAAATAAGAGTGATTTTTATAATCCTGGAATGGATCTGAAATATTCCAGTCAATTCCAATGGGGAAAATTGATTTGAGATACAAGTGTTCAACTCGTATCACAAAAAAACATTACTTTATTTGTGTGTTTATTTATGTATGACTATTTAGTAATTTGTCTTGCTGCTAGTGCTCTTACTTACCAAACATTATATATATATATATTATATATATATATATATATATATATATATATATATATATATATTATAAACGTGCAATCAATTTACAAATACATGAATTATTCACACAAAAACTAATGCAAAGGTTAATGATTTAAATGGCGAGACATCCATCATCGCAAAAACAATTCAAATAATATACAAAAACCTTCGTATCCGTTTTGAATGAAATGATCCTTGTTTATATAAATTTCTGCCGTATTAGTTCTTATTTTACTACAAGCTTTCGTCTGTTCCTACAGACATCTTCTGGTATAGAATAGATGTTGTTCTTGTTTTTTCTCTTAGTAATAAGAGGACAACGAAAATATATGTATTGTTGTATCCGAAAATGCTATTGAAAATGAGTTATTGTTTTTGGAGCGCGCAAAAGCAACGCTGAGTTTGATTTTAAATTTTTAAAGGTTGTGCATTCATATAAAATATGGTGATGAACAAATTTTTTTTTTTATTGGTAAATTTTTCTGTCAAAGTGGCATGAACTATATTGTTCAATAATTACAGTAATGTCGCACTTATTATCCAAAAGTCGCACTTGGATCAGTTATTTAAATTACGATAAACGTGCAATCAATTTACAAATACATGAATTATTCACACAAAAACTAATGCAAAGGTTAATGATTTAAATGGCGAGACATCCATCATCGCAAACAATTCAAATAATATACAAAAACCTCCGTATCCGTTATGAATGAAATGATCCTTGTTTATATAAATTTCTGCCGTATTAGTTCTTATATATATATATAATTAAAAAAATTTTTTGGTGGATCTTGTAAAAATGTATGCAATGTTTATACAGGTTGTAGTTGACTTATGACCATAATTTGTTACAACTGACAGGTCGTAAATCTATCTGATTGTAAGTTAGGAAAGTGTGTTGTATCGAGGCTGCTCGAACACTGAGCTTGACGCACACATAGGAATGCTAACCCTGCCAGAAAAAGGGGTGGATATTGTCATATGCCAAGCTTCCAGACAATACCAATTCGTGGTCGTAAAGACAATGTTTTTTTTTTTTAACTACCTACATTCTTTGACAATGTTTATTGTTTTAAAATAAATTATCTGACATTACACAATAATGATCACACTTCAAATTATTACTGATGCTGGTATTAGGTTAGGGGTTGTAGTTTTCTTGTTTTAAATCTTGCACAAAGGAATGTGTCGCATGTATATCGTTGCTGTGTTTGGTTAATGAAGCAAAATTCCTGTGGAATTTGACTGGGTTTGTTTACTGCAAACTTGAAAATTCCCTCTAATATTAAAAAAAAATGAAATAGTCAGTAAGTATATATCAAACTGTGAAACATGGACACTGTTGGCAGAAACAGAGAGAGAAGGATCCAAGCATTTTGAGAAGAAATGCATGAGAAAACTCCTTGGCATCTTCTATTGGGAACATAAAACCGATGAGTTTGTGCGGAAAAAGATTTGAAAGTTTTATGGGCTACCAGGAACCTCTTCTCGCCACTGTCAAAGGGAGAAAAATGACGTGGTTTGGACATGTTTACAAGGCACAACAGCAAAACAATAAAAAATTGAATTATTTTTGTTTACATAGCATACTATGTAAACAAAAATAGATTTTCTTTTCAATAACTGAGACTTAAAAAAGTAAACATTTTTTTATGAAACTTAAATTTGTTTCAATGAAATTCATGTATTTCTTAAAATTTTATAGTTTTTGAAACGGATTTTTATCTTTATTTACTCAAGCAAAAAAAAAAAAAAAAACAATAAACAAAAACAAATTTTTTATTTGAAGTTTCTTGTAAAAAAGGTTTTTCACACAAAAGTTTGTATTAGGAAACCTAAAATTTGATTTAAATCAAAAATTGTATTTAATTATATTTTACTAATATTTTTCTTTGGCATAATTGAACTTTCCTTTGTTAAATTATTATGGCATTTAAAATATTTTGATTTTGAACTTTTTTTTTTATTTATTCCTTCTCAGAGACAAACATGATGCAAGTTTTATAAATAGAAGCCTATAACAAAAAGTTAAAAACGAGTATTTTTATCAAATGGGATTAAATTATAATTTTTTTAAATTAAAGAATTTGTTTTTTTAATGTGTTGTTGCACTTTTACTCTTTTTTTCTTTTAACAAAAATAAAACAATTTTTGATTCTTTTTAGAAATTAAATTTTTTAATTGTGAGAAATTTATTTTAGACAATAAAACTTATTAGTGATTAAATATTTTTAGATATGATTGAAGACCATTTATTATTTATTTATTAAATTGCTGTAATAATTCATTTTTAATTCTTATTCAAAGTCTTTAAGCAAATTTAACATTTGCATTCATTTTTATTCACTGTCCTACAGGATTAGGTACACCTTGTACTTTATCAAAAATCAAAATATATGATTGAGTTAAAACACAATACTACATATGATGATGCCTGCATTATATATATATATTATATATATATATATATATATATATATATATATATATATATATATATATTAGGATATCTTTTATTTTTGAAGTGCATGCTGAAATTGAATTGTCACCTCTAAATTTGTTCCATTCATTGAAAAATGCCACATACAAAATTTTAAGATTGCATAATATTTAGAGGGCATCTTTGCTTGTTAAAACTTGAAAGGGGGAGAAAAAAAAATAGTCCCTTTTTTATTTGACTATTAATAGTAAACCATTATTAGTTGAATCTTTACAAATTATACACATTAAAAAAAAAACTAGAAACATTTTTTATCTAACAGTGAAAAATTTAAATTTAAACTGATGTTTTTTTGTTTTTATTTCCAGACCCCAATGATGGCAAGTGTATCCAATGCCAAGAAGAAAAGTGTAGTTTGGAAGTTTTTTTTTAACATTTCTGATGATAACCAAAAGCAATATGTCAACTGTAGCTAGATACTCTAAGTGATTAAATTGTTCGCTTTATTGTTTAAACTTTTACCCAATTTTTTTAAATAAAAAGGATATCTAACTTTATTTCATAAGCTTTTGTATTCATTTTTCTACGAAATTTTTTATTAATAAATGTAATTTGTTCATTGAGTTTCCAAAACCAAATGTAGGGTTTGAAAATAATGAATTTTAATTATTGTAGGTATTGGAATCAGGAATCATTTTGGAATCGGAAAAATATTGATACCATCCAATCATTAGCGTATTTACTAAGTTAGGATTGACTAAGGGCTTTTAATTTTTAGGAGTGGAAAATGCCTAAAATTTGAGTTTTTGGGGGGGGGGTTGTTTTTTTTTAAGTGTGTGGGGAGGAGAAATTTTTGTCAACTTGGAATTCTGTAACTCTTGTAAAGCAAATATTTCAACATTTTTTCATGCAGTAAGTCATCAGTTGATAATTATCTTCTTCATTCTATTGCTCATGGTTTAGCTTTCATAGGTGGGAAGACACATGAGAGAGAGAGAGAGAGAGAAGGAAAGAGAGAGAGAAAGAGAGAAGGAAAGAGAGAGAAGGAGAGAGAGAAGGAAAAAGAGAAGGAAAGAGAGGAAAGAAGAAAGAGAAGGAAAAAGAGAGAAGGAAAGAGAGAGAGAAAAAGAGAGAAGGAAAGAGAGAGAGAAAAAGAGAGAAGGAAAGAGAGAGAGAAAAAGAGAGAAGGAAAGAGAGAGAGAAAAAAAAGAGAAGGAAAGAGAGAGAGAGAAAGAGAGAAGGAAAGAGAGAGAAAAAGAGAGAAGGAAAGAGAGAGAAAAAGAGAGAAGGAAAGAGAGAGAGAAAAAGAGAGAAAAAGAGAGAAAAGAAAGACAGAGAAAAAAAAGAAAAAAAAGAAAAAAGAAAAGAAAAAAAAACACCTCCCCACAAAATAGTAATTTTCCCATTTTTTTTAACAACCTATAACTGTTTGTTTTATTTGTTTAATGACATATCAACATTTAGTGGGTCATCTAATGCTAAAGCAAGTAGAGTTGGGATGAAATGAAGTTTGTTTTTTTAACATTATAGTCATGTCAAAGTTGTAGTTAGGTTTTTATAAACTGTACTTATGTTAAAAGGTTTTTTTCAGATTTTGGTAAATAGGTGTGTTTCTTTTAAGAATTTAAAAATGTTATCTAGATTGACCCAGGGAAAGAGTTTGTTCAGGTTATTTGTTCGATAATATTTGATTTGGGTTAGTTTCAGGTTTGTACATGTTGTCAATATATGGCTTACTGTGTACTTTTCCTGGCATGTCATGTATATTGGTGTCATCCCCTCCCTCTTTAGCAGATATGCGTGTGTGATAGATGTGTTCCCTATACAGCGTCTGGTCAGTATCACCTCCTCTTTTTTGTCACTTTCCTATGTTTGGTTTTTATTTTATGTCATTTATTGTTTGGTCAAGAAGAGTTCCAAAGCTTTTGTCACCTTTCTTCCATATATTTGGTGATGGTCTTTTAGTAGCTTGCATATGGTATTTTGAGGTTTGCTTGTCTTAGTTTCACCAATTTCTTGACTGCTGTACCTATAACTATAAAAACATGCGTGTTTGCTCTATACATTAGAGTACACATTTACTGAATATCAACTTGGGAATGCAAAGTTATGAAGTGCCAAACTTGGTAAATCATTCTATTTTGAAATCAGTAAAAACTGGCTCCAAATTTCAAGCAGCCATCAGTCCTGAGTATGACGACAAACTACATCCGGCAACAAGACCTCTGCTTGGGAGGGTCTTGAGGAGCCTGGAACCACCAATTAATTACTGTTCTTCCCAGGTTCACTCTGGCCTGAGATGATAGCACCTATTTTTTTAAGGTAAGTTAAAAATCGCTGCTTTTTTTTTTTTTTTTTTAAAATTGTCTGGCTGAATTTATATCATTTAATAAAATGTCGCGTCTGATGAGCCAGGTATATATATATATATATATATATATATATATATATATATATATATATATATATATATATATATATATATCTTACTTATTATAAAACATGAGACTGTGTGTGTGTCTGTACGTTTATATATTGGATTTCTACATTTTTCAACCAATTTCAACAAAACTTCACAGGACTGCATAAAGTTACCTTGCGGTGGTTCTGACAGCGCCCAAAATTGGAAAAACACAATTGTTTTTGCATGAAATCAATTTGAAAACATGATAAAACATGATTCTGTCGCCAGAATGAAAGGGGGACAACTCATATAGAGTTTTACTTATTATAAAACCCAGGTTGTGTGTGTGTTCCTTTATATATGGGATTTGGTTTCTTATTTCTTGCACATTTTTTTCAATTCAGAATGATTTCAACAAAACGATTGAAAAAACAAATTTTTGTTTTTTTTTGGCAGGTCGTCTTTTCAATTTTATTCTTTATGATGGTCGATACTTGTCTTGCACATTTTTTTCTTTATTTTACATTCAGAATGCTTTAAAATCCCATTTACAAGACAATTGTTTATAATAAAATTCTATTCAATCGATAAACTCATCAAGTAGTAGGAAATAATTGAAAACAATGTTTTGTTTGAGTTTGGGTTTGACCAATTTCATAAAGAACAAAACAAAAAAAAAATAACTAATTAAGACATGCATGTCCGTCAACCTTAAACAATAATCTTTGTCAATTTTATTTTTCAGTCTTTATGATTTTTCGATACTTGATCTATCTTCTTTTGTTACATCCCGGGCAAGCTGGGCTCCTGCTAGTATATATATATACATATATATAAACGCCAAATTACAACACTATATATATATATATATATATATATATATATATATATATATATATATATTACTATATACATCTGCAGTATGCTTTCAACCAATGATTCACAAATCTTTTTTTCAGGTTGCTTCCCCCTTGTACCAAAACAACCCTAACATACCCCGCCACCCAAATGTACAGTCAACCTTTGATTTGGTTTTCTTTGTACTAGTATTGCATGTCAAATGAGAATTTAAGTATTTCATGTAATAATCGTTAGATAAATGAGATGGAAAGGGAAGGCAAGATGCACTGCAAGTACAATGGATGGTTACATTACGGATTATTGTCCTATGGGTCAGGGTTCAAAAGATTCAGTAATACTACCCTCTAGCTGCTCACTTTTTTTCTCACTGGCTCTCCAGCTTTCCACCACCTCCCCAAGATGGACATATCACCCATTTTGGAAATCATTGCTTTAGACTGCTTGGACACAAGAGAGCATCGCAGCTGGCACATTTCAAGCCTGGAGTAGTAGGAAATAATGTTGGGGAGGGGGAGTCCATTGATTCATTATAAATTACTTTGTTTACATTTTGGATATGAAAAAAAAAAAAATATATGGACTTCCACTTTTTTAAAACTTTCGATCTCTAGGCCAGTAGACATTAATTTCACCATAAAGAACAAAACAGAAAAAGAACAGGGATATCTACTCAAACACGTGCACAAATATAAGTCTGTATTCTCCCTTTAACCTGGGTAGCCACTTTCATAAATTTTTATTGATAAATAAATCTAGAAGATATAGGCCATAGAAATATTTGATTTATATTGTATCGCAAATACCTAAAAAAATTATTAAGTCCCTTTTCATTCCATAATGTTCATCAGTCTTGCAACAGTTGATTCTTTTTATAAAAACTTTTTTGCTGTTTCAATATCAACTTTTCGGAATCACTCATTTACAATTGTTCTCATCCTTATGAAGATTTTAATCATTTTTAATCTTATTTTTATTTTAATGCTTAATAGCAGTTGAATCTCATATAAAATGATTAAGTTTGTTTTGTATCTGTCTATATTTCTGAGATGAGGTATTATGTACACTATTTACATTACCGGATTATTGTCCTCATCTTTTTATACACTATTTACAAGCCATATTTATTACAACGTTTCGCCCTTCAGTATCTGTCTATATTTCTGAGATGAGGTATTATGTACACTATTTACATTACCGGATTATTGTCCTCATCTTTGTCGCCATATTTATTACAACGTTTCGGCCCTTCAGTATCTGTCTATATTTCTGAGATGAGGTATTATGTACACTATTTACATTACCGGATTATTGTCCTCATCTTTGTCGCCATATTTATTACAACGTTTCGGCCCTTCAGTATCTGTCTATATTTCTGAGATGAGGTATTATGTACACTATTTACATTATTCGGATTATTTTCCTCATCTTTGTCGCCATATTTATTATGTTTCAGGCCGTTGTACACTCCAGCCTTCTTCTGTGGATAAAGGCATTAGTTAGATCCAGTGACAGGACCCAAAGAGTGTGAGTTCAATACCCAGTTAAGGCTGTGGAGAACTTGGAGAGGGAAATTAATAGGAGATAACTGTCAACTGACTTTCATTAAACATGGCACGTGGAACTAGAACAGTCTATCCCATTGACGAAATAAAGGGTTCAGTTCGACATTTCAACCACCTGAAGAAGGCTGGAGGGTTCAACGGTCGAAACGTTGTAATAAATATGGTGACAAAGATGAGGACAATAGTCCAAATAATGTAAATAATGTAAGTTTTTTTTTAATTAAGGGATATGTTTTTTTACTGTGTTGTTGCACTTTTACACTTTTTTTCTTTTAACAAAAATAAAACAATTTTTGATTCTTTTTAGAAATTAAATTTTTTAATTGTGAGAAATTTATTTTAGACAATAAAACTTATTAGTGATTAAATATTTTTAGATATGATTGAAAACCATTTATTATTTATTTATTAAATTGCTGTAATAATTCATTTTTAATTCTTATTAAATGTCTGTAAGCAAATTTAACATTTGCATTCATTTTTATTCACTGTCCTACAGGATTAGGTACACCTTGTACTTTATCAAAAATCAAAATATATGATCGAGTTAAAAGATAATACTACATATGATGATGCCTGCATTATATATATATGTCTGTAAGCAAATTTAACATTTGCATTCATTTTTTATTCACTGTCCTGCAGGATGACTTACTCTTTGTACTTTATCAAAATATATGCATGAGTTAAAACACAATACATACGATGATGCCTTTCTGCCTTGAGTATTAATGTTGCATCTCATAAGATTACAAAAGATTTATAATAAAAAGAAATAATGTGGAATTAAAAAACTATTAATTACTTAAAATAAGTTAGTAAAGGAAAGCTAGAAGAAAGGACTAAGCATCAATTGTAAGAAGACAAAGTCTATGGTCGTCAGTAAAAGAAACAACCTAATATGCAGACAACAAATTGGAGATATCGAATTAAACATGTACAAAAATTTAAATATCAAGGTTTAACAGACAACAGAAAATGTGACAGCAAAATCTGAAGACACATTGGGAAGTGAAAGATGCTTTCCAAAAGCTAAGCAACATATTAAATTTTTTTTTTTAAGCATTTCACCCCAAGCAAGGCAGGAGTGTCCCTAGTATGCAAGGGGTTACAGAGAGGGGGAACAAATATAAAGAGGTCTGATAGAGGAAAGGATGAAGAGGAGAGGGAATTAGATCAAGGCATATGGAAATGTTGATTGACATTGTATTTGAATAGTTGGAGAGTATAGCTATCAGGGAAGCAAGTCAGAGGAAGGGAGTTCCACACATGAGAAGTGCGATTCATGAAGCTATTGGAGTAGAACCATTTAACCATTTCGACAGTGAAAGGGTCAGAAATAAAAAAAAAAAAAAGTACTTAAGTGTAAAACAATAGTGATTCACCTATATGATGGTAAATGCCAGACAATCTCATCACAGATGAAGAAGAGGCTTAAAGTAACAAAAATGTGGTTCTACAGAAGGATGCTGAGAATATAATGGACTGAACATGTAAGAAGAAAGTCTTAAGGAAAATGGAAGCAAAAAAAAAAAAAAAAAAAAGACACTTATATGTAGCCTCAGAAAATCTGACACTTACATGACACTGAGGGACAGAGGAAAACTGCATAACCAACCCTAAATGAGTTTGTACAAATGGTCGGCAGAACAGGGATTACAAGAGATAGCGAAAAGACTTTACTAAGAGCTAGAAAGTTGTGGGGAGACATAGTCATCCACGTCCTGAAGGAACACAGCAGAGAGAAGAAGAATACATGGAAATTTTACCAGGATCAGTTGGTTAATAACTATTTTATTTCAAAAACACTGACTTTATTTACAAGAAATCTGAAATAGTTTGGTTGGAGGTTTTTGTTTTGCAGCATATGGGTTAAATGCAGAAAACTAAATATTTTTTGTTCAAAATTTTATGTTACTTTTGTAGATAATAATGATTTAGTGATAGATTACTAATTAACCCATAGCTGGGGATAGAAGAGGTGGATTCATACCTTTCCCAAGGGTATTTACGAGTAAGTGAATAACAACCTCAAACCATTATACCACCTGCATATCCAAGGTTACAGCACCTGGTATTCACAAGTAGTTACCCATCTATGTACTGGCCAGGCTCGACGTTACTTAACTTGCGTGAGCATAAGCCTTGAAAAGTGCATCAAACACCTGTTGTATATTTGAATATCCTCAGCTGATTACTCTGTTACCAAATGGGTCATGAAGCCAAAGTCTTTTCGAAATTTGAAAGTGTGACAAAAGTCGTGGGAATCGCCATATGCAAAAAAATCCTTTCCAAAGCAAACATTTTTTTTTTATTTTGATAACAGTGACGAAGCAGGAAAGATACATTAAAAAAAAATTATCAAACGAGATAAAAACAAGAAAAAAATTATCAATACCGAAAAATCTAATTTACTTGACGTTTCCATTTTCATCAAAAGTTAAAAAAAATACTCTGACATTTTTTTTTTTCATTTTCCTGACAGTCTAAGATTTATTTCAACTGATTAACTTATTTTAAATCTTAAATTCTTAGGAGTCAAAAATTCAAAATCAAACATCGAGTCACTAAAACTCTTAGAGTTTTTCAGCAGAATTCAGATAAAACAATTGTTAAATCTTAAAAAAGGAAAAGAATTTTATTTAATGCATACATAAAAAAAAAAAAAATATTTTTTTAAAAAAACAAATATTGGGTGTGTAAAAAGACTTTTAATGAGTTTTTCAATTTTTGATTTGTAAAGTTTTTCACTTAAACAATAACACCTTCCTTACCGGATTGAAGTAATAATGCAGGATTTTATTTTAAAATATTTAGTATTATAATTAAATTTTTAAAAAGATGAAAATTCTTGTAAAAATTCATCTGAAATATTTTTTTCTTAAAAGACAATAATGACGATAGTGTCTTTAATAAATAAGCAATTAAGAGCTTTTCTAACGAAAATATCATATTGCATTTTTTATTTTACAATTCAGAGCAAATTCTGTTTTTTTTTTTTTAAATTAAAAAAAAAAAAAAAAATTCATGATTTAATCTCCAAGGAGTTCTGCGAACTTTTAATTTTAAAACAAGTTTTGATATTGAAATTTAATTTCTCGAAATTTCATGAAATTAAATAACATACGTAAAAAAAAAAAAAAAATTACCAAAATTTTCTAAAACTAAAAAAAATATCAAATTAATAAATGGTAGAAATTATGTCTTTTGCTGACATAAAAAGAATGGGCCACTTTTTCGTTGCAAAACAGCATCATAATGAAAAAAGGCCCCAATCTTATTAAAAAACAATGTTTTATCGTCAAAATGTTTTTATTAAGAGAAAAAAACAAGGAATTTTGTAATTATTTTTTTAATTTTTAAATCCTTTCTAACACGTGCAAAATTTTAGTTAAAAATCTCGTTTTTCTTTTTTTCTTTTTTAATTTACCATCGGCGGTCGACGTCATTTAATGTACCTGAGCGTCTTTTTTTTTCAGATGAAAAACACATTAATTTGGAAATTCTTGCAAAAATCAAATAATTGTCGGATTTTAGAAAAACTTTCAGAACTTATTTACAAATGAATAAAATTATTTTAGAAAGTCATGGTAAAAAAAAAAAATTACATCTATTGACCTCCCTTAATTTTATGAAAACTCGAGAGATTCGACTTTGTGTAATTTTAGTGATTATATTAGTTAAAAAGCAGAAGACAAAACGGTAACTTTTTTTTTGTAAAATCGAAACACCTAGATACCCCGAATTCAACTCTGAATTGTAACATGGCAAAAAAAAAAAAAATTAAAACTAAGACATTACTTAATTAGAAAAAACTTTTTAACGACTTTTATAAGGACATTATTGTCTGAAGCCAAAATATTTTTCCGATAAAAAATGAATTTTAAAAAATTTTTAACGATAACGTGTAAAAAATGGACATTATTATTAAGGAGAACTTTTTACAGATCATAATTTTGAAATATTTTTGCGACATCCGATAAAAAGAATTACATTGTTTTTCATTTTGCATAAAAAAATTTTTACACGTGAATTGTTTATTTGACAATATAAATTTTGTTTTTCCCAGAAATCTTTCTCTGACTTTTCACCAAGCATTTTCAAAAAATTCAATAAAATTTTTTTAAAAAAAAACATCAGTGAAAACATACTGCAATTAATTGTTTATTTTTAGTTTTTCAGCTGAATTGAGATAAAAAAAAAAAAAAAAAAAAGAGAGGCCTATAATTTTTAAATCTTTTAAAAAAAAAAAATTAAATTTTCGTTGTTAATTTCTATTTTAAATTTTATTTTTTTCCCAGAAAAAAAAATGTAAAAATTGTACATTATCAATTACCTAATCAATTTTCCACTATATTATTTCAGTTATATTAGATTTTTTAGACACTTTTGATGATTTTTTTTAAATTAACTGTCAAAAATATTTAAATTCACCTTTTGTTTACAAAATTGTCAAAAGTGATCTCTCGATTTTATGGCAATTTTAAGATTTTTAACTAAAATTTCGAAAGTAAAAAAAGAAATTTGGTCTCTCCAATAAAATTTAGACGAATTTTTTTTTTTTCATCAGACCAATCATTTTTTTGGCGACTGTCACCCACCTTTTTTTTGTCAAATTAGTGGAACCACAAAAAATCCAAATGGCAAACTTAAAAAACCCGAAAAACAATTTTTAAATCTTTTTTAAAAAAAAAAGAAAAAAATCCAATTTTCCATCCAACGTCTTACTTTTTTCCACTAAAAAAGTGATGATTTTTTTAAATTATGCTGATTTAATAAATTTTATGAAACTTTGTTATGTCAATATTTAAACAGTGCAACTTAATAAATGTTCCTCGAAGTATCCCAAAATTTACGACCAGAGAATATTTTTTAAATTTTAAATTTAAATTATTAAAATAATAATAATAATAATAATCCGATTTTTTTCCTTAATCATAAATTGGAGATAATTTTAAGAAATAATGAAAACTGACACTGTCATTATTTGGGACAAGGTTAGAGGTCAATAAAGCTATTTTTTAGGGCGGTTTTTTACTTCTTGCATTTTTGCTATTTATTTTGAGGTCGTTCGTAGAGACGGACTTCAACCTTGGATATTGATTTTTGTTGTTTAATGAAGTCATGTTTCCCTCCAACAAAATCAACAATTTAAAATAACATTTTCCCGGTAGATTTGCAGATAATGCGCTAGTGACCAATTTTAAAAAAAAAAAAAAAAACCAAAAAAACAACAGATTATTATTTACAAAAATAGCAATAAAAAATATGAGGAAAAACTATCGTTTCAGAGATTGGCAATCTTAGTTGAGTGCTCAAGTACAGCCTGGCCGCCGCAGCCAGGAATCTATGCTCTCGGTATGGTGAGGGATTGACCTCAGGGATAGAAATCGAACAACATATATTGCTTCAGGTAAGACAGTGGAGGCCAGGTTGTACCCGGGACTCAACTAAGATTGGTATCTCATAAACAGTAGAGTTTCTTCGATTATTATTGCTATTTTTATAATAATCAAACTTTTTTTTTACATCAGGAAATGCATTTTTTTAAAATTGGTCACTGGGGCATTATTTGTAAATTTACCTTTTTTTATAATCTACTAATTAGCAATTTGATAATGTAAAAAAAAATCGAGTGTTACTGATAGTAATTTTATATTGTCGTTTAGTTAATAAATGATCATCAGATAAAAAATAAAAAAAATAAAAAGTGAAGTTTGCTTTTTTTTTTAAGGACCTGAAAAGCAAACATGACTTTTTTTGTTTTTTAGGCCATTTTAGGTAAAAATACAAAAATTAAAGAAAGAGAAATTATGACATTTTATTTAAATCCATTTTAATAAAAATAAATAAATATTTTAGTTTAGACTAGAACTAGAGAGATTAAGAAAAAGGAAAGAAACAAAAACAATAAACAAACAATAAAAAAAGAAAAACAAATTTAAATTCCGGTACGACTTCTTCCTTCTAATAATTTTTTTTTAGTTACTTTCATTAATGATTAAATAAACATTTTAAGTGTTTTTTTAATAAAATAAAAATTTGAAATTAAATTTAACTTTAAAATCTTTTATAATTTTTTTCCTAAAATATGTTAAAATTTAAAAAAATAAATGATTGTTTTTTTTTGTTTTTTGTTTTTTTAATATTTTAATTAATTTTAAGTGGTGCAAAAGTTTTTAATATGCAATCAAAGAAAAAAATCATTAATAGAATTCTTATTGTCAATGAAACGTTTTAAGAAAAGTTTTATCTGATTATTTCTTTTTTTAGTTATTTTATCTCCGTTTTTTTTTTTTTAAAGAATGAATGAAAAACTTTTTTTCTTTTTTTTTCTTTTGTTTTCACGCGGCGATCACGCACTTGTCATCAAAATTACAATCGTTCAGGTTGGAAATAAACAAATGAACAAGACAACGAATTTACCTGAAATCACTGGACATTTCAATGTCGCTCTTCGACGGCCTAAGAAATGGGGCAACACCCGAAGTCGTCTGGTTGAATTTTCGACGGTTATAAAGGAAATGATTCCTAACAAAAGAGAACGACGTCGACAGACGACGAATCATGATGGCTTCACAACTGTTTAATGGCGTCTTACATGTCGACAGAGTTATCTCCCCTTGTTCCTCTGACGTCATTCCCTCCACGATTTGATCGAACCTGTTGAATTTGTGCATTTTTTAAATTTGTTTAATGATTTTCTAAAGCGTTGCTTAGATGTGGCACAAGGCTGAAAGTATGGAGCACCCAGTTGGAATCGAACTCACTACTCATTCGTTATTGTTCTAGGGAGACGAACTTGCTAACCATTACACCACGTCGAAGTGGCCAACTTGTAGCTTATTTGTTGTTTTTTACAGTGTGGTTCACTCTGTACAAGGCCCGAGAGTCACTCGAGGTAGAGGGCTACGGAGTAGGAGACATAGTTTATGCAGATAAGTGGGGAAGATAACAGTTAACTCTATACTTGAAGAGGTTAAGATTGTAGTGATCGGGGAAACATCCCCAGTTCCACAAAGCAAGTAGAGGGCTACAGAGTAAAAGACAGTTTATGCGTATATGTGCATAAGATAACGGTTAACCCTAAGCTTGAAAAGGTTAAGATTGTAGTTATTGAGGAAGCATCCTCTCGGGAGTCAGTTTCATAGAGTATCAGTTCATAAACAAATATTAATTTAGAGTTTACAAAGAAACTTTTAAAATGAGTACCTCCTGTAACATGGTTAGATCCAAGAATGTCTTGCAGAAAAATTCACAAGAATGGATAAATTTACTATTCTTGCGAACATGAGGCTCCAACAATGATGGCTTTATGCCAGGATAAATTTAGTCCATTGGTTCTATGATTATATCTACTGGGTGCCTTGTGGCATATAAGGTCTTATTGAGGTTTTCTGTAATTTAATTATTCCATAGGGTATGGTGAGTGGCTCTGAACCCTGAGGCAAGGTTAGCTTCCTGTTGAGGGTTTTTCCTTCTCTTAGACCACCACATGTCCAGGGCCTTCCTGTCTTACCCCTAAAACCCCTGACCAGGTGGGTGTCTCCACATTTTTTGGGGGCCCTGTTGTGGCTGCTAATTTCAGTAGCACTTATTTTTTTTAATTTTAATTTTCAATATGAACAGTTCTTTTAAATCAATTAAAAGGTTAATATATCTAGGTAAAATCATTTTATTTTTTTTTTTTTTGGCAAGGAGGAGGCACGGTGGAGTAATGGATAGCGGCTTGGATTGAGGAATCAGAGAGCTGAGTTTGAATTCCAGTCGAATCCATTACATTCACTTATGTAATAATACCCTTGGGAAACGTATGAATTCTTCTCCCCATCCAGCTATGGCTAAATAGCAGGACAGACTGGATTCTATAACCTTGAATGGCAACTGGTCTAACACAGAAAGAAAAGGCAGCCTACTGCGGAAAAAAAAAATCTGCCTTGTCAGTCATGTATTGAAAGATACATGATTGCCTAAGTATGTATCCTACATGTCACATAACTGACTGAAAATCATTTTTTATTCCAAGATCATCCACTAGAGAGGATCTCTGATTTCTTTTTTTTACTATTAGTAATACTAACCAAAAGTCCACAACTAGTAATTAAAATAAAATTTCTAGTCCCTATTTTTTACAGTTTTTTTTTACATTTTAAGACAATCCCATTTCTATCGAAATCTTTGTAAAACTTGTTTTTCCAGTGGAGATGCATCAGCAATTAATCTTTATGGAAATGTAAAAATTTGTGACTTAAACATTTTTTTCGAGTAAAATTTAGTCCTGAAAATATTGGTGGTTATTACAAAAAGAATAAAATTTTCTCAAAATTTTTAAATAAAAAAATCTATTCATTATAAAAGTAAATAATTACTGAATATGTACTGAAATTTTCATTCAAGTTGGATAATTCCCTTGATTTTTGGTAATTTAAAAAACACTACTCTTCCCCACCAATTTTCCTTTGGGGATTTGGGACCCCTAGGTTGAGAAATTTTGAAATCAACATAGAGTATTGTTATACTGGAACACACCTATTCTATTGCTAATAGACTCTCCCACCTATAATAAGTAGTAGTAGCAGGCTCAG